TTTTATAATTTGCCATTCAGTAAAAAACGAATTACTTATTCATGAGTATTCAATTCTAAATTTATTTTTACCTGTGTCGTTCAAACATTCGACACATCTTAAAACATACATTTATTCAAACGCGAAAAAAATCATAACCCTAGCCATATTTTTTATGCCACATGCAAATATCTAGATACATATAGGGATACGTACTTTTTTTTCTTAACGAGAAAAAAAGTGTAAAAAGAGCATACCTGAAAGGGTGTTGGCAAAGATTTTTTTGGAACTGAAAAAAAATATGTGCCAACGGACTTATTTTTTTTAAGAGTCGAATAACAAACCGGCTTATTAGAAAGCTACAAAGGGGTAAGAAAATTGTATGGCATGCTTGCTTAAAAAAGGGTGACAAAATTCGCTGTGTCATATTGTCTCGACCTGGAAAACAGTGTACACCTTTCAGTGGATTCTAAAATTAGTTCCAAATTAATTGGATTTTAAATTACAGCCTACCATGGAAGCCATAATAATATTAATGTATTTGTAAAATGGTTTGTTGTAACATTTATTTTTGGCTTTTTTTCTCAATCGTTTAATTTTTTTGGTTGCTCAGATTTGAAGTTCTCATTTCACTGATTTTAATTTATTAATAATTTTGTAACAAAAATAACAAAGATGAAAATAACAACACAAAATAAAAAAATTAATAGACAAACGTCAAAATTTTCATATTGGGTATATATAGGTACACATGATAAAAATAAACTTTAATCAGTACCTCTTTATGGAAAAACAATTACTTTGAAGACAAGCAAAACAATACATCAAACAGAAAATAAAAATAGAAACTTAAAAAAACGTGAACTGTTTATAAAGAAAAAAGTATCATACTAACCAAACCTAACATACCAAAAAAACAACGTCAGATTTGGGTTAGAATTAAAAATCGCTGTTATTATATACGGAGTATTTATTTGGAAAAATCATAGTATAATAAAAAAATAATAAAATGTCTTTATTCCCAAATAAAACTAACTATTACAAAAAAAGAATATTATAACATAAAAAAATAACACGCTGATAAAAAAACATAAACATTATAACCAAAAAATCCAAACAAAAGAGTCATTCACTTCTAAATGAGAAGGAGCGAAATTGTTTTGTTGAGCGTATATTGTTTTGTTAGGAGTAAAAATGATACTTTTTGTGGCGAGGTTGTACATTTGGTAATACAGGCGAAGTATAAAAAGTCATTTTTACTCCGAATGGAACATGCTCATTTTTTTTCAAACGTCACAAATAATAACTTATATTTTACTTTTTAATCATTATTTTTACATTAGGTACCTATGTTTTTTGACTTTTAATTTCATTTGCTTTTATTCTTATATCTATACTAATATATAAAATCCTTAAGTGACTGACATACTGATTAATCACGATCCTGCTCAAACCACTCAACGTAAGAAGCTCAGTTTTGGCATACAGGTTGATTCTAGGGTGTAGAGGTTCAATAAGAAGGGATTTTTCGAAATTCCAGTTCCACCCCTCAAATATTACAATATTTTTTATTTAAAAAACGGCCAAGTTTCCGAAAAAACGCTTAAACACGTATATTTTATTTTATTTTTTTACATATTTTAAGATTTTTTAGAAATGTATACAGGGTGGTTTGAAAAATTAAACTGTTGATAAATTAAACATGCTGACTAAATAGTTATTAGACTGAAATCATAAATTTTAAATATTTTTGTGACAAAAGTTCAACAGAAACTGTTTTATCATCATTTTTTGCAGAAAAATTTATGATTAATTTAAAAAAAACAAAAATTTCCGAAATTTATTATTTCAGTGAAATCTACTCAACGGCAATGTGTTTATTTTTCGTCAATAATGACATGTATTGTCTATTTCCATTCAAAATATCTTAAGAACTGTTGCTCGTAGCAATTTTTGCAAAGAGACATTTTTTACGTAAAAAGTCACAGAGATGTATATTTTTTCACTCGATAGTTTTATACAGGTACGGACAAAAAGTTATTACCCTTCAAAACAGTTAAAATACATGTAGGTGGCGCCCTCTACTAGTAGGAGTCATATTGATAACAAAATCAAATTTCTCATGTCAAAAAACTCCCAGACACCAATTTTCATCGAAATATTGACGTTACTTCAGAAATTATTTAGAAAAAATCGAAATAAAAATGAAACTTCTACTCCCTGTATCTCTGAAAGTAAGCATTTTAGGACATACATTTATACGAACTTTTTTACATATTTTTATCTGCAGAATATGCTGCCGAAGTTTTCGGAGTACAATTCGGACCACCCTGTATAATATACGCCCCTAAACAGTAACATTATTTCATTAAATAATATTGACATCTATCAAAAAAACTCTCCATAAAGCACGTACAGGAGGGCAAACCGTAAAATGAACCAAGACTAAAACCCGAAAGAAAACTCATTGACTTTAGATACCGAAAAAAAAACAACGTTCTCTCCTCTATCTACAGATTTGTTCCGTCAGGTAGGCCGTGACTCTGCTGTTTGCATTTATTTTCGACTTTCTTTCATCTGTCTAAGGCCGCAGTAGGCTATTATTCGAAAAAAAAACAGGAGAACCCGAAAGAAACAAAGCGCAGTCAAAACGGCAGCGTTTAAAACTGGAGACAAATTCATTGAGCTTAAAACGGGATGATTTATGATGCATTCAGGTTCTCTGCGGAATAAATTAAAACGTCAATACGTTTTGGTAGCAGAAGGCAATTTTGGTCCGATAAATCTACGGACAAAAGGGTACCGCGCACATTCACTGACGTAAAATGTTTTTTTGATTGGGCATCGGCACAAAAGGGACAGAAAACAGTTTATGGGTTAGAGAGGGTCCCCGCCAGTTTATGGATGTAAGGAGGGTTGTTCGTATTTTCGGTTAGTTCTATGACTGTTTTGGGGCAATGACAATATACATATTTTCATATTGAAATATATATGAATGTTCCAATGAAGTAATGCTCAATGTTTTGTAAATGCGGAAATTACAGGGGCGTGTGAATGAATTGAGGATTATGTGGTTAATTTTTCCTCTATCAATAGTTTTTTTTTTATCGATATTATCGATAATATCGGTAAAATTAATATAAAATCTACAGATAAAATAAAAACAGTTTATAAAATATCTACCGGGTGCGTCCCGAAATTTTTATTTTTTTCAAATAAAAAATCGAGATTTGGTATATTAATATCTGACATAAATTAGGATTGATTAACGTATTCAATGGTTTTCTGTCACTTCCTGTTTCACCGGAAATGCCTACAACTCTGGATTTTTAAATGGTACCCTCGATGTTTTGTTGCTTTATTCGATAGAAAATGATACTCTGAATAGAATGACATATCATATGTCAACTTTTGACATTTTCGAATATGGTTTATTTGAAATTGCAACATGCGATTCATAACGACAATTTGACTCGAAATACCAAGTGTGTGGTACAAAATTATTCGTAAAAAAATGCTTTTTTCAAATATGTTAATGAGCCACTCTCGTTCCATTTGAAAAAATTGAGATATGATTAAAAATACGATTTGGGTATTTTTTAACCGGCTAGGACAAGACACGAATAACATTAGACGATCAAATCTATTTTTCCAAGGCTCCTTGATTAAAAATTAGTGTTTTTAACACAGCCATGGCACTCTAGATTGAAATTTAAAATTCAATTTTGTTGTAAGCAAAAATGTCAAAAATTGACATATGATATGTCATTCTATTCAGAATGTAATTTTCTATCGAATAAAGTAAAAAATACCCAGGGTGCCATTTAAAAATCAAAAGTTGTAATTATTTCCGGTAAAACAGGAAGTGGCCGAAAAGAATTGAATACGTCAATCAATCCTAATTTATATCATATACTAACATACCAAATCTCTTTTTTTTATCTGAAAAAATAAAAAAGTTATAGGGGGTGAGCCACTTTTGAGACGCACCCGGTATATCATCTAGCAACAATTCTTGAAAGAAGACTTCGATTTTCGCTACTGGAAGGAAAATATGCAAAATAAAAAGTTATTTTTTTGAAAAAAACACCACTGTCTTAAATCCAAACAAAACCCAGCTTCTCGGTAGTTTTTTACTAGTCAAACTAATTTGCCTAAACGACAAAAAATGCTTAATATTTCGAGAGGTATATCTCCTTCCGTTTTCTGAAGCAGAAACACATAGAAAAAAATATATATAAAATACATAAAAACAAAAAAAAAACCTTTAACTTTTTCCTTTAAATTAAAAACTTACTTTTACTCGTAGAAAACCATTGACAAGCAGGTTTCCATTGCGATTCAACGTAATGTCGTCTAAAAAAATATTTTTTTTATTTTGTGTCGAGGAATAAACCTGATATAAAGGCAGAAACATTATTTAAAGCAACAATGTTAAAAAAAACTGACACTGCTCCAGAAAGGAAAAAGATAGAAGATTATTCATACTTACTGTCTTGGTTTAATACCAAGAAAATAGAAAAACATAATGCAACGTTAGTTGATGGAATCCAAAAGAAAAACTGGTTAACGTATATTTTAGTAATAACTTTAGTAATATAAAATTATTAAAACCATTTTTTTCGTAATCGTCTTTTTTGCATTGCAACTGCATTTTTTTTTCTTATAATTAGAAAGAAATATTTTTTAACAACTTTTATAAAAACTGTATTTCTATCCCGTATTCAGAAACTATAATTTCGAAGAAAAAACTGATTTAAGGAACCACATTACCTTCCTTGTATATCGAACGGTTCTAGTATACCAAGCTGGTACTTTGCTACATACAGGAGCTTATTAAATAATTCTATAATATTATAATCTACTCCATAGGAATTAATGTATTAAGAGTGTGACACTTCTTTTGTAGAAAAACAAAATACCGTTTGATGATAACAAGTATTATTTGAATGTTGTATTAAGTAGCTTATTGCTTCTTAAACTTCTCTTTCCATTACCCTACTTCTTAAAATAGGACTTACCTCCTGGTTCCAGGACATGTAGTGCGAGACAGCCGGATCCATGTGTTCTGCCATGACGCTCATCCAGTGAACCAGTCCCTGGGCCCCTTGACCACCCATTCCTCCTCCTTGTGGCCCCGAGGGACTGCCACCAGTTTGTGATGTGTCCCATCCAAACGCTTTCTGAAAAGGCAAGAAAACATTTGTTAAGATACAGTAAAAAAATTGGTCAAGTGCGAGTCGGACTCGCGCACGAAGGGTTCCGTACCATTCATTATCTATACAACATTAGACACTATATTATTATAAACTTTTTTTCCGATTTAGCTGAAATTTTGAATGCGCGTATAAGTAATTTAGTATTAATCAATAATAAATATGTAAAAAGTAAAAATAAATATGTAAAATTTAAAAAAAAACGATTAAAAAAAATTCACAGATTTTGCAACATGCGCAACCATCATAGGCGTATTGAAAATACCAGATACAAGTCGGCGGTTGTCGGCAATCACCTGTTTTTTACATTTTATATTAATTTGTGACGTCATTTGGAAGAGTTCAATAGAAATATAAAGAACTAAACCTTGTTTGGAAAGCAATTTGACATTCGTGACGTCACCACTCCGGCAGTCTATGGTGCGTCCAGACCTGACGAGCCGAGCGCGAGACGAGAGCAAGACAAGAGCGAGACGAGAGCGAGACATTTTCTATCCATTTTTTACGCCAACCTGCCACGAGACAAGCCGAGTGGGATCATAGTGAAAGAAAGCCAAACACATATTAAATTGCAATTGAATATAACAAACGATGGCCAAATAATAACGCATATACAGTAATAAATTTTTGTATTTTTAATATGATATTCGGTCTTTAACATGGTATTCATCGTCGGTTTTCCCCCTTTTGGCTGTTTTCCCCTTTATCCCTTACATGACGTTTTTTACATAATACGTTTTTTAACGTTTTTAGAACAAAATGCAAAATAAAAAAGTTATTGGTAAGGTTAAGAAGCACATTTTAACATTACTATAGAGTATACAGGGTAAATCAAAAAAGTGTTGCGGATATAACATATTTTCTAATGGGAATACCCTATTTTTTATTTTATTATTGGGTTATACATACGTACAATTCGGTACCTTTTCTTGCCATTTTTTGATATTATATATCTATAATTAATAGATGTTGTAATAATTCAATTTGTTTAAAGAAATGTTGGATTTCGGTAGGGTAAAAATTATCAGTGACATAAAATTTGTAAATTCTATCAGAAAAAATGATAATACATACGGTGTACGATTTAAAAATTTGAGATTACTTAATTTTAAATGGTCGAAATTTATAAATCAGAGCTAATATCTCGCAATCGGGCGGGCCTACCAAAAACACGTCCAGACTTTCGAGCTTTCTTTGATCTCTCTCTCTCGGCCGTTAGAAAACCGACAGGGGACGGATAGCAACGAGGCTCCGTGGGTTGACTCGCGACGCTCTCGCGAGACTCGTCCACACAGCGAATTTGGAATGTCTCGCGCTCGTCTCCCCAGGTTTGGACGCACCATCGTAATAAATATTAACTATTTCTACTATCATTTAATAATTATTCTGATAAAAACACGCTGGATTTTTTATTTTAGAAATCATACAGGCTATAATCATTAATATGACTAAATGTATTAACAATACTTAAATTAAAATTTATTTGAAGGAATGCTACTTGAAAAAGCTGCTCATCGCGTTATCGATGTCGGCGTCTTGTGACTGTTGTCTGGCTGATTGGCCGTTTAGGTACCTATAGTTTGAATTCAGATAATGCAGATTTTAATGTGCCATTTATGTTTTTTTTTAATTTTTTTACATATTTGGTATACTCTATGAAGTGCTCATGTCCATTTTTCATTTATTAAAGTGCCTATTTAGATACATTTAAAATTAATTAATTAGTGTATAGTAATTGAATTATGGGTTTGTTTATGTTTTATGAAATGTATTTTTTTCTATTAAAATAAACATAGCTTTACTTACAAAATCGCTAGCTAGCCATTTTTAAATACAGGCTGTTAATTAAGTATCTGGCCAACTTCAGAAGGTGATTCTTTGTGTTTTTAAGGGAAAAAGTTAATATAAACGGAAATTTTATTTATTATTATAATTTTATTATTCATTAATTAAAATGTCCGGAAATGCATAATTTTAAAGATACAGCGTGTCAAGTCATAATAGACATTTTTTTATTAATATTTCAAAGATCCGTTGGCCGATTTTGTTGAAATTTCGCCGTGTTGTGAATTTTGATAAGTTAGCACTAATTAAATGATAATAATTATTATTTACAACAATATTCAAACGGTAAAAACTTATCAATTTATCCCAATATATATTTGACAACGCCTTGGATTCATTTGTTTTAACGCCTGTTGGCGGTGGAAACCATGCAAGCTTTTTCTTTGTCCTAAGTTGATAATTAAAAACATAATAATCATATAAAAAAATATGGTAATTAGTCTAAATTTATTATTTATGTGATTCTTCTCTTTCTCGTATAATTTACCCCTTGTTTCTCATACGGAAATAGATTAAAATAGCCAAACTGAACCTGGCAATCCATGCCTTGACATATTTTCTTTTAAAATAATATCGCTTTCTTTATCCGCCGGTCCAGACTCGACCTTGCCCTATTCGCTCATCAATGCCGGCTCTATCAACTTAAGTACGTGTTGACAGGCAGGTTATTGAACCCATGTTGCTTCTAGCATGTCGTTTTTTCAAAGATGGGTCCCATATAAACGCGGCCAGAAGTATTTTCAATACTAAAAGTCGCCTTGACTAGAATTCGAACCTGCCTTACTACGACTCCAACGTCATAGCAGCGAATAGTTCTAACGCTTTAACCACGCGGCCACCGAATACTTGAAAGATTCTATGTAAAATTCTTACTTAAAAGATAATATTTAGTAAAAGTATTTTTTTATTTATAAACATTTATTTAATTCTGTTTTTAGTATTTGTTCTTATAGCGGCAACATAGATACATTATCTGTAAAAATTCCAACTGCCTAGCTATAACGGTTCATAAGTTAGACCTTTGTGACAGACGGACGGACGGACAGCGAAGTCTTAGTAATACGGTTCCCGTTTTTACCCTTTGGGAACCCTAAAAAGGGTAGTCCTATTCTGAATATTAGATATACAAATATAATAATACTATATAATAATACCTATTCTGAATATTAGTATGACTACAACATTGTATTTGAGTTTTATAAATATATGACACACTCAATATAACGAGAGCTAATAAGCTAAGTTATTATTCTTCTCCAACTCAGTTGACAATACTACCAAGTAACCACAAATTTAGTTACGGACACCTTAAAATTTTCATGTATTTTAAAATTTTATACAGGTTGATTTTTAACCTATATGCATAAACTTGGGAAATTATTGCTGATGACAAATAATGACTAATAATGAAAAAAAATGTTAGCAAAATATATTTAGATTCTGAAATAATTTTATTTTTTTTTCACAAAAAAAATTATCAACTTTATCAGTAATGCACATTCAATTAAAGGGAATTTATGGTTTTTTTGTTTTTATTTCAAATAGTTTGTTATCTCCGTAAATAAAAATATTTAGTGTTTGTTATCTTCATAAAAAAAATATTTTACTAACTTTTTTTTTCATTATTAGTCATTATTTGTCATCAGCAATAATGTCCCAACTTTATGCGTATAGGTTAAAAATCACCCTGTATATTGTGTTGTAGTGAACCTATCTTGATGATTTTTTAAGCAATTTGTAACTGATTTATTTGACTCTTTAGTATGTCTTTCTAAATTAAAAATGAAAGTTCCCATCTGTCAATTATACGAGGGAAAACAAAATGTTGATATTTTGGTGAAAGTTTCGAACACCATGTGGAGTAAATTAACAAAGCCAGTAATGTAAAAATCATTTTATCACCTAAGTGTATCTTTTCTCGATAGTTGTTTTTTTTTATTCACCTCAGTACCTGTTATTCTTTTGGAGATATTCGCTTTACCATGCCTTTGTTTTTGGTGCTACTCAACAGACCTATAAAATAGTGTTTATGATTTATGTAATGTCACAGTCCTTGAAAAATCATATTATTATTGTCTGTTGGGCAATTACTCTAGCAGATATGGTTTTAAGTCCAAAAGTTGATCTCTACCTAGATCTATTAAAGCAACTATAGCCGATACTTCAGTAGGTATACTTAAAACCAATCTCTACTAGATACTACGTCAATAAACAATAATAATATGACTTTTCAATGACAGTGACGTTACAAAAACAGTAAACACTGCTTTATAACTGTGTTGATGAGGATCCAAAATGTTAATATTGCTATAAATCATTACTGTCTTATTAAAAAGCGAATTTCTCCATCAAAAATAAAGATATTCGGATGAATCAAAAAATAAACTATCGAAAAAAGGTGTACCTAGATAATAAAATTGTTTTTACATTTTTTGCATGGCTCACTAACTCCACAAGGTGTTTCTAACTTTATCCAAAATATCAACATTTTATTTTCCCTCGTATAATTGACAGAAGAAGACATACTAAAAAGCCAAATAATTTATTATATATATTATATATGTTGGGCTAACTATAAGATCAATATTAACTAGATTTAAAGAACATTTAGCTCAGATAAGATATGGTAGACCGGATAAATCTTGAGTTGCCGAACATATTGTTGATAAAGGACATTGTATAGATCTAAATAACTTGAAATTAATTAAACAAGTCTCAAATTACAGGCAATTAGATGCATATGAAAGCATCAGAATTAATAAATGTAAAGATAGTATGAACAGAGACAACGGTCCAACTCCTTCAAGTTCTTTGTTCCTACTAGTCTAGTGGCGGAAATCTAACTGTTATGCTCGGTGGGTTCTGACTCGGTTGGCTAGATCTTGCCACGCCCATTTTGTGCCCACTGAGCGAGCTCCAATTGTAGATTGTATTTTAGTTTAGTATAATCATCTGCTGATGATGCTAACATGGTTAGCGAAACGCACGTCCACTGTAAAAGTAAGAGTGTTTTGGTGTATTGTGATGATTTAGGTTTTTATTTTGCAAATAATTTAGCTACACATTGCTTAAATAAATCTCAAAATCGGCCTACTAGAACAAATATAATAAAGTTAAATATT